TTAAATCGAGGATATTTTACACCATCTATTCAGTTATTTCATCTACTAGCGGTAGAGTTATTGAAGCGCAGTAACAATTGATCATATTGAAAATCTTTTGCAAACACTAGACCAATATATGCTGCTAACAGCTCTAAATAACTAATATGGCATGCATGGCGCATTCTTCTACAGACAGCTTTCCACTATTTTAAAATCACAGGCGGCTCCCCAACCCGTTAGAACATAATATTTCAATGTGATAACTGCCGTCTCTATTCTTGCGGGCAGAGTTATCTACTGCCTTCAACACAAGTGAAAGTTACCTTGAAGGGTCTGAGGGATTGTCATATTCTTATATAATCTTCATAATCTCATAAGTAAAAAGATTTGTATAAAGTACACCATATTCTATCTTAGAACATTTTGAAAGCAATAACCATAAGGCTCCACGAATTAATTCATTTAACACCTGTTAAATTTATAAATGCAATATATCGAACCCGAAAAATTAACGCTAATGCGCCTGTTTCAAAATTGATTTTGAAAACAAATGAAGGTAACAGTTTAAATGTAAAAAAACATTATTTTCTTTATATTTATAGTAATTTCGATATACGAGACACCAGTCATCTAGATATACGATAGACATTCGGCTGTCCTTAGTAACTTAGTTACGGGTTTCATTATTTTGGTAAATTATACCTCATTATAAAAAAGCGAAGGTGATTTCGAAAATATTTTACATTTTTATTGGTAAATAAGAGTAATTAATAACAGAAAGACGGATAGATAGCTCCGAGCGCAGTGGCCCAGGAACGGATCGCGGTGCAGATGGCCAGTGGTTAGAATCCCGAAATTAACTAGCATTTTGCATGACCCACAAGTGTGCCCACAAGTAATTGTTCTGGGCTCCGGACGTTTGTCCTTGGGGAATTCGTGCATGTAAACTGCCACGATAAAGGAAAAAGTCCCAGTGTGGGACAATGTTACTGGATGTAATTTAAATGCCGTTTGCAAGTCTTTGATATTATTCTTTAAAATGGCACGTCACTGTATGTTTTTAATTCAGAATGAAGATAATTTTTCCATTTAGTTTGGGTACACCGAAATGCACAAGATGGAAATCTTCACAACGGTCAGATTTTTAAAATTTTAATTTTTTATTGTTCAGCATTTTAGCTCGCGCGGCCCCAGCTAAGTAATATAAATTATAAACTAAAGACTAATAAAATGTATTGTTTGCGGAGTTACGTACATAATTGCGGCGGAGCGTGTACTATTTAACAGTGAGGGCAAAGCTTTCCTCGAAAAATATTTAACATCGTTGTTATTAGAGAAAATCCTTGAAATGTGTAGGTAATTTAACAGATTGCTGACACATTGCAAGGACTGTCCTGTGTCATTCTAAATTTTGAGGTTAATAGTATAAAGGATATTTATTTTCACGCAATTATTATAAAACATTAACTTGTATATGCAATATATGTAAACTTATTTTTGGAGTTCACCATCATCATAAGCACTGTTAGACATAGGCTTTTGGAGCTCAATTTTTTGCATTTCGTAATTTTTGCCTCATTTTTAAAGATGGAAAAAAAAAAAGGTTTTGGCTACTTTAACCTCGCGAGACTGCATTCTTTACCCACACTTCCTGTCAACGGTCTGAGGGCTATAACATCTGTTTCGCAAGAAAAAAAAAAAGATTATTTTTGGATAATTTCTTTGATATTTAGCTTAAAACTTGTTAAAATTAAAAATATCTGCATACAGGATAAGGTTATATTGAATAATTTTCATTTCTGGTAATAAATCCATAATATAACTATCAATCTAAAACTTTGATATTAAAAAATAACATGAAAAAAAAAAATAATAATCTTAAGCTAATTTTAATGGTTGGCTTATTGAATCAAATATCTTACCGTTAGACAAAATATATGCTTCTACATAACATTAAGTATGTTTATCCAATGGTAAGATAAACGTTAAAAATCTGAAATCGGGTAAATTTTTAAAGGAACCTTGGACTTGATTAGATATGGGAATAATTGTCCCTTACAATTTAATAATTTTATCTGAATTCTTTGCCTCGTTAGTTGTTTGTGAGTCGTTAATAAGGACATTTATTTCATTCTTTGGCACCAGATTTCAAACGAAACAATCAGATCCAAAACGTATTTACTTTTAAACAGCTGTCTGACAATGAAACTTTAAGGTCACAGTCAGCATAACGTAGGTCATGGGGTTATGAAAAAACTAGAACTCAGAGAAAACACTCAGAAGCACCAGCTTTCCCCCTCACCATCACATCAACGGTGCGGCCCCGCTTCCCCAAATCGCTAAACTCCTTCGGGTGGGCGCGTTTAGGACCCCTAGTACAACGAGGCAATTATTTTGAGTTATTTTTTTTTATAAAACAACGATTAAATGTCAGTGATTACAGATTTATGAAATTTCTTCTTATTTGTATTGTCTATTTTAATTATTTTGATATTAATATACTTATTAATATTTAATACCAATATGAAAATCAAAATAATCTTTAATGTAGTTTAAGTAATTCGGCGCCGAATTCATAAAAAGACACTTATTGAATTACCTCGGTGACTGTCCGGTACTTTCTGAGTATTTTATGTAGATAATTGAAAATAAATTGGTAGTTAAAAAAGTTGTCAACCTGAACTGCACTTGACTGATTTTTAAATATTTTATACAAATGCTATAGGTAAATGAACAAAATAGCGTACTGTCTTTATTTTGTGGTAAATGTTTGAACGAAATGACGTTGAATATTTATAATTGGTTTAAAATACAAGTTACGCCACTACTCTGTCTAGCATTTTTGTGCGAGAATGATTAATTGCATATAAGATAAAAATCCTTGTGCTGGAAAGCATTTATTTAACTAACTCTACTGTCTTTATAGTCAATTAACGGGTTTGGTGAATACGCAACTTTAATTTTCGTTCTTTCTATCCATTAGGTAAAATAGAAGATATTTTAAATGTTAAATTAAAAACATAACATTAATATTCGAAAAATTGTTACAATTATGTCTATACAAAAAATTGTTACATTATAATAAAAAGGAAGTAGATGAAAAAATAAATAAATATTACATACTAGATCGTGACGAGTAATAGGTTTGTATTCATGTTCCTTTTCCGTAAGTGAAACTGTAACCGTTAACTATGGAGTCCTACAAGTAAGTGTGATGGGTCCTACTCTATTTTTGATATAATGAACTATGTAATATGAAACTTTATAATGGGCAGATTTTTTCATATGCAGATGACACTGCCATTGTATTTACAGAAAACACATGGGACTCCGTAAGGAAAGCAGCAGAATTAGGCCTTGCTAGGGTTGCAAATTGGCAAGATCTACTAACCTTGAATATAACCAAAACTAAATATATCTGCTTTACTATGTATAACAACACCCAACCTACACCTGATTTTCATATTAAAATTCACGATAACTCGGACGTCCAAAGCTCTAGTTGTAAAAGCTCCCAAATAAATAAAGTCTCAAATATAAAGTACCAGAGTCATGGTTGACCAACGACGACTATCTTGGTATTCACATCTAGAATTAATGGAAACTCAGCTCAGAAAACTTATTTGGATATTTAAGTCTCTACGACATGTCTCCACGAAGTCTTTACTAAATAAAATATACATAGCTCTGGCTCAGTCAACTTTGAGCTACTGTATTTCCATATGGGGTGGTGCAGCAAAAACTAGGTTCCTTAAGCTTGAAAGGGCTCAAAGATGCTTAATTAAAGCTATGTACTTAAAGCCGTATAGATTATCTACAACTGAACTTTATGAATGGAGTAATTTACTTTCGGTAAGAAAACTTTACATTTTAGCAACAGTTTTAAAACTTCAAAGTTCCATAAATTACCACATGTCTTCAATCACCAGACGTAGAAAATATAAAATACCCTATGAAGATTCATTTAAGGCTAAGTTTGCATCAAGACAGTATACTAGACGTTCAGTTTACTTATATAATAAAATAAACCAAAAAAATTAATATTTACTCTATGAATTACCATGACTGTAAAAAAACCGTAACAGACTGGTTAAGAAAACTTTCCTACGAAGAAATCGAATTCCTTCTCGAAAACACTGCCTTATGAATTTTTACTCATACAGACTTCCCACGCTCATCACACACACACACACACACACACACACACACACACACACACACACACACACATCACACAACACACACATTTTTTCACACTATCACGCAAATGTCGCTAATCCTCTCAGTTTAAATTGTTAAGCTTTTGATTTTTTTAATGTTTTTTTTTGTTATTTTATTGTTTTGTGTTATATACTTAATTCTAATTTAAACTAGTAATATAATTGTAATAAGGACGAGCGGGGCCCTCTACTACAGGTATCTATTTACTTAAAAGAGGGTGCCCAACAATATTGTAACAACTTTCTACTTGTTTTAAAGTAATAAATTATCTTTATCATTGTCATTATCATTATTCTTTTCCTTTGGTAACTTTTATTTCGTGGTTAGTATCCCATGTTTTGATCTAGGTTCTAGGATATAATAAATCTCTAAGTCATATTTTATCTAAATTTGTTTAGACGTCTATGCTTAATAAATAGCAAACATCTTCATAAACTTTCAAATATATAAGATTAATAAAGCTTAGTGTAGCTCGGTTTTATTCTAGTTTAAAGTAAATTTGAGACTAAAACTGATTTGAATATTCAAAACGTACATTTACCGCGACGCCCCCGATTTGGAGTTGTTTGCCTTCTTTAGGTGTCGTTACCATTGAGCTATTATTATTTACATGACATTGATTTCAGACGTACCGTGGCAATATTACTGAACGCCTGTTTCTGTTACTCGTAAGTGGTTTCGCAACTATGAATTGCGGATTTTTGTTTTTAAAACATATTGTAACGTTTTTATTACTAGTGTGCTGTGATGCTACTGACAAAAGTAATGGTTTTAGTGATGAAAGTTTAGAAATATTAATGGATTCCGTGCAATTAATCACGAAGTATAATTACCCAGTCGAAAAACATTTAGTGGTGACAGAAGATGGCTATGTATTGAACATTTATCGAATACCCAAGCGCGGAACACCCGTATTGTTAGTTCATGGTATCGGGGACAGTTCTGATTCGTGGATGGTGTTGGGTCCAAAAGGTTCGTTAGCATTCCGCCTCGCCGATGCTGGATTTGATGTGTGGTTATTCAACTCAAGAGGAAACAAATACAGTAAAAGACATGTCGAGAATCTGTCAATGAAACAATACTGGAATTTTAGCTTTGAAGAAATGGGATCTAAAGATCTGCCCGCTACGATCGATTATATTCTATCTACAACATCTGAAGCTAAACTCTCGTACGTAGGATTTTCACAAGGCACAACTATATTTTTTGTGCTGTGCAGCATGCGACCTGAGTATAATTCCAAAATCAAACAAGCAATATTATTGGCACCAGTAGCTGAGATAAAGAATATAAAAATTCCTTTGATAAATTTCTATTCTAAAAATTACGACTTGCTTACATTTTTGGCTGCGGCAGGTGTAAATGAAGTATTTGCTTCTAATGTATTACTAAACATTTATCATGCCAATGTTTGTAATTCGAAATCTCCAGTGAGATGGTTTTGTCAATTAAATTTATATGCCAACTTTGGTTTAAACAAGTTAGGAAAATTTTCGGGAGAAAGACTTCCCATAATCACTAGTCACATTCCTGCCGGCACATCGTCGAAAACATTTTTGCATTTTTTACAAGGTTATATATTCAAAAGTTTTAGAAGATTCGATTATGGGGAACAAATAAATCTAAACATTTACAACTCTACTATTCCACCCACGTATGAGTTATCTAAAATTGATGCTCCCGTTTTTTTAGTAACAAGTGAAAGTGACTGGTTTAGTACCGTCGACGACGTCAAAGCTTTACGGAAAAATTTGCGTAATATTGTCAACTACTTAGAATTAAACAAAACATTAGATTTTACACATTTGGAATTTGTATATGGTGTACGCGCAAAATCTGTTATCAATGAACGTGTTATTAGTTTCTTACGGACATAATTGTAGTAGGTATTTACAAGTAAAACTTTTTTGAACTCGCAACAATTCAAATTTGTTTATGGTAGTTCGATGGTAGTATAAAGATATTATACCTAAGATATATAATTATGGTAGGTAGGTACATAAGAATGGTAGATGTATATAATTATATTAAGAATGTGTGGTACGTGGTACGTTTTATATTTTTATGTACACGAAACAAGATACAGAAATATTCATACAGCAAATTCGTACAAAGTTTCTACTTATTCCATAATTTGTTGAAATATCTTCCAGTAGACCCAGTAGACCCAGTAGATATAGGAAAATGGATTAAAAAGGCAAACATATTGCGTACATTGGACCTAATACTTAGGAATAAATAATATACATTAAATTATATAAATTGTAATAAATAATACGATAAATAATAATAATGTTGCGCTAATTTTTCATACGTTTTTGTAAATTTTGAAAAATAACTAGGTGAAAATATTTGTATGTATATCAACGTACGTATTTTATAATTAAATGGTAAACATTAATTTCGTTTAGGTATATAAAAATTTGTTAATAGAGATATTTTATTGACAAAAAATATTAAAGCCACTTTTGTAACCTTCATTTCAATATAATCGCAATATTATGGGTTAAGTACATAAAATACTACTCAGTAGGTATCCTTGAAAATGCAATAGATCATATTTGCGCAAGCATACGCGTTGATTACTTTATGTATTCAGTGCATAGGCCTCCCCCAAACAAAGCCAAAAAACACACATATTGCATCCATCGATTTACTTGTTTCTACTAAGTCTTACAAAGTCATCACTCCATTGCCCTAAACTTGAACGCTTACCAGTACGAGGCTGCCACTCGAGATGATTTTGCCTATATTATGCCTATTCATATAAGCATTTTTATAACATTATCTAAATATGATAACCTCTGTATATTTTTGATATTGATTACGCTTTTATTTAAAAAATTAAGTAAAAAAAATCGCGGTATAGCCTCTCTGCACCCGAATGATCACTGCGTTAGGAATGGGTCAGTGTCACCAAGGAAGGACGACGCTGTCACAGAATACCATCTTTAATAGCCACAAAATGCTGTGTCGTTTCGGATGATGAGAGACAATAACCAGAAACCTTTTACTAGTAACCGGACATTCGATTTTATTTCTCAATGGTGGTTACGCATTTTGATTCTTGACCGTTAGCGGGAAACAATATCCTCTCATCATATAAATGTGAAGGGAACAGAAATTATCAGTTTTGAGCGGTAGATTTTGACATTAGTGCATTGTAAGCACGTTACGTTGTCTAACAAGAATGTTTTTCCGGTCTGCTTCAAATAGTGCCCAACAAGCAAGAAGTCCGCCCGGTTATATGAGGAATTCCAATCTTATTGTCAGTTTTTATTTAGTACTGCCACACGGGTAAATGCCTCTATAGGCTGTAAAAAAATGGCCTTTATAAACTGCAAACCAGTATGCAATGCTAAACAGCAGTGCACATAATATTACTACATCAGATGGGTTCCTAAACCCAGAAGGATCCTCATTAGCTCATCACCTAGTAAAGCTTACTTTAAAATATAGCTTTGTCATTTCTTGAATTGATATATTCTAAGATATGTGGTACCAGTGCGTGATAACTACATGGTTGTTATTGTCAAATTTGTTAGTTTAAAAAAATGATTTGACGTTAATTATACATAAGTGAAACAAATCAAATGATATTATTCCATGTAATTTAAGTTAATATTGATGAGTGCCATAGTGAATGCCTGGTAAATGTCACTAGCGCCATCTAGCATCAAGTGACAGAACTAGGAGAGAACTTTCTACACTAAGTCGGTTGTGGGACCGGTATGTGCTCAAACATTCTAGATGTTTCAGTAGAATCTAAAATCCCGTATTTACTAGAATATTCTGGATGTTTCGGTGGAAAATGTGTATTTAAATCCACTGCAACCCGCTATCGGGGCAGTATTGAATTTGGCGAGACAAGTGAAGCTCTGGAGCGAAATAAAGTGAATCAGTGTGATTAATTATTAGTCTTTTAAGTTCTAATTAGTGTAAAGTGAATTAAAGTGTTAATTTTGGTAATTCTATCGGCAATTTTTATTATCACGAACCCTAAGCTCGTAACAATTGGTGGCAGAAGTGGGATCAAATCATGCCTATTTTACCTAAGGAGGAAACGGAGGGTGTCCGTACCCGAAGTCAACGCCAGCAGGAGACGGACCAGAGGTTTGGTGGTGCAACGCCGCAGACGTCGGGGGGCCAACTGCCAACCACGAGGCTGACTCGTCAGCAGCTCCTACACCTGCAGCACCTGACTTAGGTGCTCTCATGATGATGTTGCAGGAACAGACCCGCCAGCAGGCGAAACAGGCACGCCGATTGGAAGAGCAGCTACGGGGCGGACCGGAGGAACAGACCCGTTGGTTGAAAGAGCAGCAGGAAGAACAGGCCCGCCGACAGGAGGAACAGGCCCGTCAGTTGGAAGAGTAGCAGGGGGAACAGGCCCGTCAGTTGGAAGAGCAGCAGGAAGAACAGGCCCGCCGATAGGAGGAACAGGCCCGCCAGCAGGCGGAACAGGCACGCCGATTGGAAGAGCAGCTGCGGGGTGGACAAGAGGAACAGGCCCGTCGGTTGGAAGAGCAGATGCTCCTCATGAAGGACCTTCACGCTACCTTCGGGAAGGAGATGGAGGAGGTGAAGGATAAGATTGCTGAACATGACAACCGCCTGTCGGAAGCTGAAACCCGAATCGAGAAAGCTGAAACCCGAATCGACCAAGTAAATAATCGGGTTGACAACGTAATAACTTTAGAGGTGGAGAAGCTGGTGTGAAAAGCATACCGGTCTGTACCTGCGCTCATTGAAGGGAACCTGGTGCAGACATTCATCGACGGCATCCGCGACCTTGAAGTCAGAGCTGCTGTGAGGCTCGGGCACCACGTGAAGCTTAAGGAAGCCTTGGCCCATGCACTTGAGGTTGAAGCCGTGCGGCAGGATCTTCGTTCCCATCGCGTCAGGGAGGTTTCAGCAGCTACAGCTCGCGACCGCAATAATGGATACAGCTCTAGGTACTATGGCTGTGGGGAAAGGGGCCATCTTCGATCCAGCTGCCGTAAGCAACCTGTAGAAAGGGAAGTTGATCGATCTCGAGAGGGTAGTGAAACTAACGGCACCGCCTGGCGGCGGCAGTATCAGCGTTCCCCTCACTTTAGGAAGGTTGCAGTAGTTACGGTTCGAGACTACAATAAAAATTACAGCCCAAAGTGCTACGGTTGTGGGGAAAGGGGCCATCTTCGATCCAGCTGCCCTAGGCGATCTGTAAAAAGGGAAGGTGATTGATCTCGAGAGGGTTGTGCGGCTAACACCGCTCAGCAGCAGCAGGAATACGACTTTACTATAGGATACTGCAGCGGGAACTGGCGTGGCAACATAGATGAATTTTATTCAATAGATGAATTGTCAAGAAGTCCTTATCTTGATGATGGCGAGAACAGTACTAGGCAAGAGAGTAAGGAAGTGGTATCCGTGAGGATGCTCAGGACAGACCACCTCAGCAACGAATGGAAGGACAGCTTACAACATGCACTGCAGTAAGATTCGGACATCAAGCCGATTCTGGAATGGATGAAGGTCCGTGCTACCAAGCCTAAGTGGAGCGACGTTTCAGCGATGAGTTCAACCACTAGAAGCTATTGGGCCCAATGGGACAGCTTGCTGATTCAGGATGGAGTCCTGTGTCGTAAATGGGACAACGGTCGAGGAGACAGCTGTCGTTTGCAAATGGTTGTCCCTAAAGCTAAAGTGCCAAATGTTCTACAGCTGTACCATAATGGTTGTTCAGGAGTCCATCTGGAAGTTAAACGAACTCTACTGAAGACCTGAGAACAGTTTTACTGGGTCCACTGTCGAAACGATGTCGAGGACTGGTATCACAAATATACGAGCTGTGCGGCTGTAAAGGGACCTCATACTCGTAGTAAAGGTGCATTGAAGTTGTATAATGTTGGTGCACTATGGGAGAGAATAGCCATTGACGTGGCGGGGCCGTTTCCGGAGAGTGAAAGCGGTAACAAGTATTTCATGGTTGTGATGGATTACTTCACTAAGTGGCCAGAAGTCTTCGCCATTCCAAATCAAGGAGCTTCAACAGTTGCAGATAAACTAGTTCATGAAGTCTTCTGTCGTTTTGGAGTACCTTTAAAGATTCACAGCGATCAAGGAAGGAATTTTGAGTCTCAAATATTCCAGGAAACTTGCCGAGTTATGGGTACTCATAAAACAAGAACGACTTCTTATCACCCGCAATCTGATGGAATGGTAGAACGATTTAATCAGACATTGGAGAGGTACCTAGCAAAAGTTGTAGACAATCGGCAACGAGATTGGGACAAGCACATACAACCGTTTTTGTTGTCATATCGAAGCGCTGTTCACGAAAGTACAGCAGTGACACCAGTCTTCGCAAACTTTGGAAGAGAATCCCATCACCGGGATACCACCTGATGCCCCACGCAGTATAACCGATTATGCAAATGGCTTGCGGAACAAAATGAATGACATTTATGAGCACGTCAGACAATCGGGCCAGCAAATGTCCGAAAAGATGAAAACCCGGTATGACCGCAAAATGAACAACAAAGGGTTCGACGAAGGTTCACTAGTGTGGTTGCACAATCCAGTACGCAGCAAAGGGAAATTTCCTAAGCTTCAAGCTAAAAGGGACGAGCCGTACCGGATTGTGACCAGGATCAACGATGTAACCTACCGGATACAGAAAGGCGCAAGAGGGACTCCTAAGATCGTCCATGTGGATCGCCTGGTGGTTATGTCTAAGAATTAAATATATGTATAGCAAAATTTACTTATTTATTTTCTTTTTATAATCTCAGGTTTAGACCAAAACTCTATTTTGTTTATTTATTTATTCTTTCTCGAAATAGAATAATATTTATAAAATTATAAATTTAATGTTCATTGACACCATTTATTC